CTGATGTCTTTAAACAGCAGTTTGTCTTGTTGCCGGCCAATTCCTGTGAACTGCAGTATTAAAATGCATTGGCTATTACCACCAACAACTACAGGTGTTATCTTAAATACTGTAATACTGAAAATGTAATGCAGTATATCGCACCTAGTAAACTGATTGTCTTTCCAATGTCAACAATAGATGTACGAGCTTCAAAAAGCCAAATGTATGGCAGAGCTTTTGTATAGGATTGCGTTAGATTGCACGGTTTTCGTCCTTAGTGAGTGTTTATGTCTGACTTTTTTCATAGCCTTTATCTTTTTCCTGCTCACATACCTACAGATAAAAGTCCATTCTGTGCCCTGTACTCCTTTGGGCCCAAAGGACAAAGCACACAACAGTAAAAACATCAAGAGAAACACATCCATACACCAAATCACAAAAAATGAAGAAATACACAGTCAACAGGGAAAATGCTACCTAAAAAGTTGCTACATCAGAAGTGCTCTGCTCTGCTTGATTTTAATAAACAGCAACACTGTTGAAGAGATCAAATCAAGAGCTATTGTGTTGCTATTATGCAAGCGACTTGTGCCACCATACCAAATATATCCCAAGATCTTCATAAAATATGTACTTAAGCGCTGATGCAGTGGCACGAACCAACTTCATAGATCCAAACACGGACGTACGCACAAAACCAACTTCAGAAAATTTGATTATGTGAGGATAATATTCACAGTTTAAAAATATTTAAGCAAAAAAAGAAAAAAAGCAAATTATTCCAGCACGCCAATACAGAAACACGAGTCTAACCGGCACTGAAAGTTCACGACTCGCTCTGCGTATTTTAGTCACTCTTTTCTCTGTTATTTGTATCATGTAAAACAAACATTGTTTAATTAAAGATTCACAGACCTCAGCAGTCGCTTCTGATGTGCTCACTGATGTGCTATCCTCCATTGTTTTCACCACTGTTGCAGTCTTCAAAATGCTTTAAATAGTGCGGCTGTTCAAACATTTTCTTATTTGCCGAGGCGATTTTAATCTCTAACGCCTCATCTCAGTGTGTCGAGCTGAAATAACTCTCATCTGCAACTAAGCAGGCGAGATAGGCATTTGTAATTGATGTTCTGTCATCACAATAACAAGGCGCATAAATGCCCAAGAGTATTCAAGCTATGTGAGGTACTCAGAAGTTAAACAGGGAGACAAAAATGGAACACTCGTGTTGTGGTAGTTTGCGTTGAAGCCCTCTGTATGTTTCTTTCTTTACTTGCTTTTTTCCAATTAAAATTTCATTGTACGAATAATCTCCGTTGTCCTATCATATGAAACAATGTGATTTCCTTGAAAGACACTTAATGCCCGGAGGGTGTTTGTCGGAAAGCTGATAGCAGTATGGGTTTTGAATCCAACTAATGCAATTGAAACAGGCAGGTCTCCTTCTCTACTCACCATTACTCCCATTCCTCATTAGCAGAATTTTTTAGCATCACATCTTGACAAGCCAAAACAGACATATATGCTTTTATTGTCCTGATTTTATAACCCGAGACTCTCTCGTGTATCGGATGTGTAATAATGCTTTGTTTACGCTAATATAAAAGTATCTCGCCTACAAAGTAAATATAGATCTTGACTCATGTTGGCTCACTCTGATGATAATGTCAAAGATATCAATAATAATTGACAGTGAAATGGATTTTGTTGAAAGAGAGGGCGAAACTTGCTATATGTAAATGTTTTATGAATATGCTCACAAATGGAGTTCAGACTGAAGCCATATTGTTATTTTTGAATCAATAATGTCAATGGCCCAGAGCAACATGTCAAGTGAAAAATACTGGCATGAGTTAACAAATACAATAATTGCAAACATACTTCAAATAAACTGACAAGTGTACTGCAAAGCCCTCGAGGCGGTTCTGAAAAGTTCATAAAATCAGTGTTTATATAATTCATTTCTCACTACTTCCTGCTTATCACATCAAATAGGCATCTGTTTATTAAAATGGATGCATTCAGCATTCGGCATGCTGCTGCTGCCGCCGCTGTTGTTGTCGTTGTTGTTGTTGTTGTGGAGCTACCGCACTCACTGTGTTAGGAAACAGTATAAAGTGTTATTTTTTCATAAGATGCTGTTAGTTGTCAGTTGTCTATCTGCCGAGGTCTCTGAGGACTCTGAGGACTCTTTTGTGTAGTCGTGAGAGTAAATTGCCATGGAAGCCCAGAGAGTCGCTGTGAATGGGATGGTTCACCCTGACTGGAGAGGCTGATACAGATATTACAGCGGGCTCCCAGAGAGCTCCTCGCGCCTGTTGGGACAAAAGTCCAATATTAACCATGAAAGTCAAATTTTAAAGTACAGATGTCTCACAATTAAAACTCATTGTAGAGGAGACCTTGAATGACACCGGATGGTGGTAATACTGCCGATGGAGGATTGCAAGAGCAAAGGTTTTAAAAACAAATAAACGGGATGCCTTCTTATCCACATTTTGTTGCCTAGTACACACATCTACTTGTGTTGTTTTATTTTTACATTAGACAGTCTCATGATGTAAACGTTCTATTATTACAAATGATTAAAATTGCACTATTTTCTGTTTGAAGTTAAAAACCTAAGAAATTACAAACAGGGCCGACAGACTGCAGTGAAATTTTTGCATTTTCACAGGAAAATGTCAAAATCCCAACAACTCCAAATCAGATGGTATTTGATTGTTGGCTTTTTTTAAACCCTGCATTGAGGTTAATTTGCATTCCTACTATCAATGAAGAGGTTTAGCACTGCCTGCATTAGATATGAGCCAAATCTGCGAGTGTCTGACAGTGAACTCCTTCCTTGTAGACCAGAATTAAAGAATATATCGTTTCAGCCTAAGCCCTGCACTATTTTTTCTCATGCATTTTATATAGGAAAGCCCGCCTCCAGCACTTGTTTATCCCCGTTTAGATGGGGAGAGGAAACAAGATCGACTGCTCTGCAGGATGAACAGAGATACCGAGCATTTACCAGGTTATCACAGTTCAAAGGATTTTTGCCTACCTGGCCCGAGGAATGGCCACTTCCATTGAAGCTCACATGTGAATTAATTCTTTTTGTTACTTATCAAAAAATGCTGGGAAACTTCCCTCCCAGCTGCTTATTTTCATTTCAAATAATCGCTCCTTCGTTTCGAGACGCAAGTTGCTATTCTGGGGTGGAGGAGAGTGAAAACCAATGTATGAAGAGTGTCTGTATTTAGATTAGTGACCTGAAGGAATACTTCTCTTCGATCCAGACTGAGGCTCGGGCTCTGATGAGGACACGTGTATTACCAGTGCCATCTTGTGTAGACAAAGGTGTACTGCTGTAATATCAAAGGTTAGGTGAGGTATTTTCAACACTTTTTTTTTTTACATCTTAAAACACGCTGTACCTCGCTGTCCTTAATACATCCACATCTGCTTCTGTGGAGTAAAGTAAAAATAAAAATGGGATCCATTTGAATCTAACTTTACCTGCATGTTGTTAATAAATTGCACAAAGCTTCAGCGGCCATAAGACAGCAGCCATCAACTCCTTTTCTTTGTAATGTTGCAGTCAGTCTGGTGACCTGATGGTTAAATAAGCTCTCCCTGTACTGTTCCTGCTACAGGCTGGAGGCACAATAATGTCAGCCGTCATCCCTCAACTGCTCCCACTGTGAGAGGCAGCATGGCACAGCAGTAAACACTCGCGCTGTGTCAGTGGCTGCAGGCGACACAGAAATAGTCCTCCTCTCCCAGGACCTGGCTCTCACTCCATCTTCAGGGTCTCTGACTCACTAACCAAAGGAATAGCACAGACATAACGGCTGCTAGTAGCCTTTCATTATTTTAGTAATCCATAAGAACCTCCGCTTACCCTATGGCAGGCAATCGATGAACCGCTCAACAGAAAAGCAAAGTGTCTGCTTGGATGTAATGGAGGGCTGTTTGTTGCCGAATGTGGAGCTTGTGCGATGATTTCATTCCCATTTCAAACAATTTTTTTCATCTGAAAAAGGTTCGGGAAGCTGTTCAGTGGCGTGAAGAAGGTTGTAATGGTGGCTGCGGCTGAACTTGGTCTTGTTTCTATGTGTGTGTGTGCACGCGTGTGTGTGTAACCCTATGGCAAGATTGGATTGTGTGGTACACAGCTGTGTATGTGGGTGTAGACGGAGCAAGGCACGATAGGCAAGCCCCGATGCCAGAAGACTTCCTCAACACCACCCGCCTTCCTGACCCTGCACACACACACACACACACACACACACAC